TCCTACTTATTCATATCCACCATATGCTCCACCATACTATCCCCCACCACCCCATCAGCCTGCTACAGTTGGACCTTTGACACCAGCTACACCAGAGAAGACGATAGATGGTCGAATGTTGATAGCACCTGAGGGTGACATGTACGTACATTCTCTTTTATTTAAGCTAACAAATATTTTTATTTTATATTATATATTTATTTCACATAATCTTATTTTTGTAGGTTCTACCCATCAAAACAACCGACGTATAAAATACGGGACATTTTACGGAGCAGATTTGACGCTCCTTATGTTTCTTGGAAGAAAGTCACGAAAGAATTCCAAAAAATATGGTTTAGAGAGTTTAAGGTATTTTTGGGTATTAGTTTTTATGTTATGTCTAATTAAATGATTTATTCTTTTTTACTTAAGCTAACAAACCTATATATTATATATTGTATGTATTTGAATGCAGAAAGATTTTTTTTTTGCTGCCCCAGCATAATGACAAAATTAGAAAGAATTTTGAGAAGCGTGGGTCCACTCGGATGTGTGAATATTCACAGACATTAGAAAGTCTGGAAAGCGACCATTGTGGATTGGAGAGAATATATGGGCTGAGTTGAGCACTGCTTTGGGCAGCGCAGAGTATAGTAGGAGGAGGGATCAAAATAGACATAACAGAGCTTCTAATGTTGGAGGCTTGGGTAGTTCCCTTTTTACTAGCGGCTCCGTTCCACATACTGAGCACATGCGACATTTGGTAATGAATTTTAAATATTTTTTAAATTTTTCGTTAATACAAATATTAATATAATACTCTTATTTCTAATAGAAAGAGATGTTGGGTAAAGAACCAATTCCTGTGGAATTTCATAATCACACTCATAAGCGATAGGATGATCAACAATAGAATGATGAGAGAGAAAGAAAAGCCCATGTAAGTATATGAGTTTAATAATTTTTAGTTTTAGTTTAATTATATATATTTATATTTTGCTTTCATAGGAGGAATATATACGGCTTCGAGAGAGTTATGCCGCATCTGGTGAGGGCTCTTCTGGTGACTCTATTGAGTATTCTGAGTATCGCATCTGGTCGCAAGCCGTTGGAGGAATGCAACATGGCAGAGTTTATGGTTTAGGTTCGCAAGCTCAAGAATATGAGGGGATGACCTCCTCTACTGCATCAAGCTTCGCATCCACTTCACATGAGTCCTTACATACTCAACAAATAAATGCCCTTCAAGCAGAGCTATAATAAGTAAGGAAATCACAAGCTGATTGGCAAGTTCAGTTGCAAGCATAGGTTCAAATGCAGATCTAGGAGCAACACAATCAGTTGTTGGATGAAATGCACAAAATGAGGGAGCAGTTGAGTGGAAAAGAGGTAACTCCAACTGAGGAGGAGTCCACGAATTCAGAGTAGTTTAGTTTAGTCATATGAACTTATTTATTTCTTTGAATCTATGTTATTAAACAATCTGTGATGGTTTTAGTTGGTTGATGTTATTGAACATTTTGTTTTAATGGATATTTATGTTTTTGAGTATATGTTGAAGTTCTCGACATCTGTGATGTGTATATCTGTGTTGTAGAACTGTTATTGTATGCATTTGTATATATTTGCAGGTGTGGAAATTCGACTGTTGGCTGGGAAGGTTTTTTTTTTTTGTTATTGCTACAAGGTTTTGGTGGATTTGGCGTCGTAAATGCGACAAAAATGACGATACAACGAATCGGTGGAATCATTCCGGCATTTTTTTTCTACCGGAAAATAGCTGCGGCAAATGCGTCGGAAGCAAGTCGTTCCTGTATTTACGATGCACCTTACGGCGTCTTCTCCGCCGGCATTTTTCTTCATACCCATAGCGCTAGAAACAAACCGTATCTTTAGTTACGACGAATTTACGGTGTTTTATCCGTTGATATTTTCTGTTAGATTTATACGTCATAAAATTCTGGCGTATATCGCGCCAGAATAATCAATTAGGAAATGACGTTTTGGCTATCATATTTTGCGCCGGTGATGCATTTAAGAGTACGCCGGAAAGGTTTCCGGCATCTTATAAAAGTCGGAAGACATTTTCCGACGCGCACTAAACCGGCGCACCAAAATCCGACATAAATGCGCTAGAAACTAAGGCCTTCCGTCGGATTTTACGTGTTACCGGCGGACACCAGCAAATATTGTATGCCGGTAATATCGTATTTTCCTGTAGTGGTCAAGAGAATCCACCAAGAATGTATGGCCTATTCGAGGTTGTATGTCAGAGTATTGTTTGATAACGTTAACTTATATGGAAGAGGTTAGGAGAATCCACCAAGGATGTATGACCTATCTAATGTTGTATGTTCGAGCGCTGCTCGATGACATAACCTATGTGGGGAAGAGGTCGAGAGAATCCATCAAGAATGTATGACCTATCCGAGGTTGTATGTCAGAGCACTGCTCGATGACGTTAACATATATGGAAAAGGTCAAAAAAATCCACCAAGGATGTATGATCTATCCGATGTTGTATGTCAGAGTCTTGCATGATGAAGTCAACCTGTGTGGAAGAGGTCAAATCAAATCCCCCTATGATCAATTTTGGCTTGATTGGGAGGGGGTGAATGCTACATATATCCCGAATCATAAGTGAAGAAATATCTATCTTTAGACCGTTACTATCTTTTTGAGGTCTAGATTAATAAGAGCTTGTCCAAGGAGTAGAAGTCCAAATATGGACTGTTTAAATTTTGAAATTTATTAGAAGCATTATTACATTTGTTAGAAGCTTTATGATCCCAAGACATCATCTTGGATATTAGAAGAGTTTGAGGAATCTTTTTGACCACTGATGTAGTTAAGGTTGTCCCACAGTCCACATTAAATTCTCGTGGAATTGATGCAGCAATAACAGATGTCAAGACGTTGATATGAATGACCTTTTGAGTTGGGAACAAAATTTTCCCCTCAATTACGAACCATGTTCCAATAGTGACACCAAATTGTTGCAAACTAGAGTATACACGGCGATAGATTTATAATCCTATGTCTTAGCGTTGTACTGATATCCAACTCACACACAAAGAATAGAAGATTTTCCACGTAAAAAACCTTATGTTCTTTGTGTGTGCGCTGTATATCCGTATAATGCTAAGACGTAGGATTTATCGCCTCGTATACTCTAGCCAACAACAATCATATACCTAAAAATTTGTCTTTATTTATTTGTTTGCCAAATAGCATCAAAATACTGTTAATTATTTTCTTTTAATAAAAAATTATGAAAACCTAATTCACCCCAAGAGCAACCCAAAAGATCAATGATGACACATGGAAAATCTAAGATAGAAGCTTGCTTAGAGCAATCACGTGAAATGCCCTCACACTATTTCTCCCTCATGTACAACTTCTTAGGCTTCTTCTCTAAATTTCAAGGTCTCTCAAGAAGTCAACCTATTAAAGCACTCTTACAGAAAATCTCTCAATAGCCAAATACTTCTTCAAAGTCTAATAAGAGAGCATGAATACAAGACTTCTAAAAAACCCTAAATTTTCAAATTTTCCATTTTCGATGGTATAGTACGATACGTGATAATAGAGTACGATTAGTTCAATACATCATGTTAATATTGTATGATGAACAAGGGTATGTAGGATTACTTAAAATTCTTGAAGAGATCATCCATTACGATGCCAGATCATACTGTATGATTGGTTTAATCGAATAAGATTTTCATCCAATGTGATAAGTGGTGATTAAATATTGTCCTGAGAACAAATGGGGTCATAAAGTATGAAGCAGGTCATCATACAATAGGCTATGAAATATTAATTAATCCTAATTCGATTATCTAATTACAAGATTAAATTAGGTAAGATTTAATGGCATCGTACAATACAATTGTAATCATATAGTAGGGTTGGTTTAATTTTTGAATTTTAAAATATTGCCTAATTTGTGAATGGAGGCAATATTTTTTGAGTTCAACTGATCATCATGTACAATGTAGATTGTATAGCATGATTCGTACAAGTTTTTTAATTAATCCCTAGTTTATTTAAATTGTACAATACAATCCAGATCGTACTAGACGATCTTCATAGAAGTTAAAACACTTCATTTTCCACCCGATATGTGTGCACAGTTGCTAATTTGGCATACATCTTTTACAGGACTTTTGACTCAAGAAATATAGAAAATCAATAAATCAAAATATAGACACTTGTCAAAGCATCAAACATATTGTACTCAGTCTTGAGTCAATCCTTCTGCACAGTGTATGATCTGCTGGAAATATTCATATGCATAAATAAATATCTAATAATAATATTAGGAGAAATAAAGTAAAAATTCAATAAAATTTGTTATTATTAAAATCATGAGCTTAAGATCTCAGATTGTAATAATCTCCCCCTTTTTTATTATGATAAATATTATTAATTGATTTTTTTTAAGTTAATTTTATTGTCTCCTAATCTCCCCCTTACTAACTTAATTCTTATAAAAATAGGTAGAGCTTTTTTAATAATTTTAATTTTATAAAACACAATAAGCGCAAGAGCTAATAAAAAAATAGAAAAAAATATAACAAATTTATTTTTTTTACCAATATTCTACTCCCCCTCTTAACATTATCAAAAAGGAAGAAGAAAAAAACAAATTCAACCTAATAAAGGCAAAAGGCCAAAATATTTAGAAGACTGGGAGGTAATTAGGTAGTCAATTATTTAGATCATTATAAAAATAGCATTTCTTGCAAGCATATCCAAGATAGAACATAATGAAACCATAATATTTATCAGATCACTTTCATTGTTGCTAATGAAGAATCAAGCATAGCACAATCGCCAAGCCCACAATGATTTGGTAAATCATTCTGAGCTACGAGTTTTAAATGCCAAGATTTGAAAGGAGAGAAGAAAAACAGGAACCAAAGGCGTGGTTTTATACATGAAAAATTACTTGCTTGCTTTGGCTGAAAGATATCCTGAGATTTTGATCAAATTTGAATCACGATAGACCAAAATTTCCTCCACACTAGAGCTAGCAGAAAATATTATTTCTTTAACTAAAAAATATACAACTACATAACATAATATCTAAAATGTATATAGATTGAAAACAAGCATCACAAACACAACATAGTGGATACATATATGCAAATTTTCCATGCTTGAACTGAATGGGAAGCAAAGGCAAACCAGAACATTTTGATTGGTACAGATGACTTTATGGAATAATATAAGAATTGAGAAAATAATCAAAATGATTTTTGTATTATTTGTGGTGAACCATTTTATGCATTGGCAAATAACCCAAACACCATTTTGAGATTTTCCTCTATAAAAATCTGTCAATTGTAGCTAACATCACCTTCATCAACTAGCATCTTCATGACCAATTCATTCCATGCATCAATAGGCCCAGGCAAGCACCAATGAAGACAGTCATTCTGAACTTGAGCTTTCTTGGATTTAGCAAAGGGGTGGAAGGTCCTATAAGGGCCAGGATGCCCATCTGGCCTCAACAGAGACAGATTGAAAGTGTCAAGCAGTTTTAGACGAGCTCCTTTCTTTAATGCCTTCTCAAACTCCTCCACCTCAATACTTCTCATATCATGGTCCACAGGCTTTCCATTGTATTGCCCTTCACCATATGGACTTGTTCTGTTACAAACTCCTCCACTGAACCACTCTCCATGCTCAAAGTGATCTGGAGTCCACGTTCTGAAAAAGATGAGAGGCTTATGTTCAGATGATGTCATGAAATCATAGCTCATCTGAAGAGCTTTTCTGTAAGCATAATCATAGCCTAGCTCTTTTATGTTCTTGTCATTGCAGTTGTGGCAGCCAACAATGGAGTTGTTCTCCCACATGACCATCGTTTTGAGAAACCATTGCCCACCAGAGAAGATTATGTAGTCATAGTTGTTGTACTGGCTCGTCCATTTTGGTTCGAGAATATCGAGATACAGTTGAACTTGTGCTTTTGCTTTGCCTTGATCATCCTCAGAGATCTTGGATTTGACCAAGAATGGAGACCAGATAACTGAGATAGTTAAGTTGTGGTTGGCAAAGTACCAAGCTCTAGATTTGTATGTCTCGTCATGATAGACCTCAACAGGCTCATCAACCTAACAAAAAGAGTGAATTTTATCTTGCCAAAAAATGATTCAGTATAACACAAGAATACACACATGGAAATTCAGAATTGTGTTAAGTCCATTTTGTTTCAAAGGAATTGACAACCATCGTAATATGTAAGTAATCAAAAATAGGTTAATTACAGGTAACTAGGCATGAGATTAATTACAGATAAATGGACATAAGACCAATTACAAGGAGCCAATGAATGTTTAGTTTTATAAGGAGTTAATACAGACGATTCAGTATAACAAAAGCATTTAGATATGGAAATTCACAGTTATGTAAAGGTCATGCCTTCAAATCTTCTTGTGATCTTATTTAAAAAAAACCAGGGCAATGCTCATAGATTCGAGTCCTCCGGTGACCCTATTTATAACAAAATATTTCCTAGCTTTCTATTCAGACTTGAAGGTATGACCTTTACACTGAAAATCAAGAAGCTCACCAGTTGACCTAGAGCTCTTTAGCAGATTAAATTAATGTGATATGAACATCTAAAGCAGAATAACATGTGTATTACTACTCAAAGGACAAATAGTGAGAATTCCGAAAGAATTTTTGAATAGAAGATAAGTTTGCAGGATTAAATCAAAAGTAGGTGAAGGTAACTTATGTATTCCAACTAATATCTATAAATTCACCTTGGAGAGTAGGCAAAGCATTGACTGGATGTGGTTTCTAAAGATTGAATCACCAATGAAGGCCCACGATTTATTCCTCATGGCATTGATAAATTTCAATGGATCAAATGGCAGTAATTCGCAACCATTAGGTTTCCATCGCCAGAACAGAAAGTCGGTATCCGGTCGACCATTCCTCAAGCAATTCTGGGGTGCTTCAATAAAATTGCAGCTATTGTTGGTGTAAACTGGTCCATAAGGATCACATATCCAATCTCCAGAAAATAGGTCACATTGTCCTGTAAGCACAGAAAATTTCCCACAAAATTAAGAACAAATCAATAAGTTCTAAAAGAAAGGCATGAAATGTTGCTAGTATATCATATGGTAAACTTGACAAAAGTTTCCGAACCAAAGTAGCTTCTTTTGATTTTCAAGGAATTTTGGCAGCTGTAGTGGAAAAGCTAATCAAACTTAACTATTCTAGATCCTATCACGAAATAAAAACTCTCCATATTTGTTGGGATCTAGATAAGATCTAATTCAAGTCATCATAAGAAATATAAATAGAAAGAATTTAAAAACACAAAACATAATAAAAATTTTATATAAATTCACTAAATTGAGATTGTCATTGCTATAGATTTTAGTATGACAATGATCATGAAATTTACAGTCCTAACCTCTCCCGTATAGAACCTAATGATGGCCCACCCGTTTGTAATGGAATAAAAAACTACGATAGCCAATAAAACACTAGTAATGAAACGAGTAATGGAAGAAAAAGCTAAGTAATGAAACGAGTCTACGTAAAAGGTTTCCTTGTAAACTCAACTTAACAATATTTAAATTTTACAGTTCTATTAAAAACACAACAAGTATATTTGGAAAAATTGTACCTCGCATATTTCAAAGAACATAAAGCATTGATGAAGTCTAGTTAATATAATAATGACATACACATCTGCGGTTCTTTTCAATTCAGCAAAACATCAATGAAGAAAAAAATTTGGTATTTATCTGATCCTTCTTTCCCAGGAAACTAATTATAATCATTTTACTTTAGAGTCAAGCAAACAGCATCATATAAAATGCTATTTTAGACTGAAATGCTTAAAGCTTATACAGGCTATATGATATGAACTAGCAGCTACATTATAACAATCACATGGCTTCATTACGGTGCTAGGCCTGAGAATTAGTGTTAATAATAAATATTGACAAGAAAATTACATTAAAAACTATTAACTAAAAAAATTCCTTCATCGGAATCAATTACCTTTCTTCAAATACCGACTTTTGGCATTCAATGACTTTCTAAGAAGTCGAATATAAGAAGTTGTCTTTCCTATTGATAGGATATCTGCAAATTATAAAGGAACAGGAAAAGTAAAATTTCAGTAACTAATATAGATTTTGAATATTAAATATTTTTTGTGTGCTGAAGAGGAAAGATAGATAATTGCAAGTTCTTACAAGATTCAAACAAACAAACATGCAAACATAAGTCTGAAATATTTGGATAGTAATAAAGATTTGAGCAGAAAACAAATGAAAATGGAGAACAAGCATACTAAACATCATAAATACAAGACAAGCTAGTGTATGTGGTTCAATGAAATCCAGTTATATTTATGGCTACACATGGATCAAATATTCCACTAAGATTCAAAAAATGAGGAATGTCAATGATTTTTCTTTATATAAAGTTGAAAATAAAAATAACTATACCACTTTATTAATATCAATGATTGGACAAGAAAAAACATACAATCACTTATTACAAAGATGAAGGTTGAACGTGTGAAAAAATTATTGTTGCTATTACTCTCTTCCCATCTCAATTGCAAATAGTTTATGCTTGCTATGATTAAGAGCTTCTATTTTTAATAGAACCAAACTAAGAACACCATTTTCAAAAACTGAACTAACCAAACCTCTGGCTGACACCTCAAAAAACTCATCCATTTCTCCTCTGCCATCTCTCTTCCTCTTATTTGATTTGCATGTGTTTGGGAATGCCCCTAAACACCATGCATTCATCACGTCACATCATGTTTAGAGGAGAAAAGTAAAAAAATTGTAGAGAATAGGAAAATAATTATAGTTTAGATACTTGTAGAGAGTGATAGGTAATAAATTTATAAGAATTATGAAAAGGGTGATAGTTAATGTACTTGTAAAGGCTAGAAAGAAATAATTATCAGCACATCAACACTTGAAATTTATGCAATCAAATGAAGCAATTGAAACCTTAACTCGACTACATGACAGGAGGTTTCTTGTGTTTTATTTATCTATAAACTAATTCTCCACAAATTCCACTTTGTCCTGATATCAATCCAGCTTTCATTTTTCTAACCAATATTCGTTATCAAGACTTATTATGAATGAGAGAAGTTTCCTCCATGTTTCCCTTGTTTAGAACTTATTACAGTGTAATGGATTATACAAGTCAAATAGCAATGCTCATGTCATCGAGCAGGAATCATTCATTTTGGAAAACAGAAACAGATCAGCAAATTATTTCATTGCTCGAAAGAATTAAAAGGACCTTTTGATAGCAATGCTCATATCTACTTTTGATTGTTCTTTGGGCAGATCTAAATAGCATAATCCACTTGATCACAACACCCATCTTATGTTGGGTAACAGAAGAAACTTAATTCAATCATGGAGAGAAAAAAAAAGGAAAAAAGATAAACACATAAAAACACATCGAGAATTTTTTTACATGTTCACCAAATGATGGCGATGTCCTATTAACATAATATGGATTTGATTGTGGACTTTTTACAGCCCAAATTTCTCCAACAAAAAAAAAAAACTCCTGAAAAAATACTCGACTATTGCACAAGCTCTTCGTAGAACAAAAATTAGGCAGCACTCCATAAACCAATAAAAAGGGAAACAACGAACATGCATGCACTGAAGCATCCAAAGCAGATGCAATCTCTGCTCCAAAAAAAAAACAAAAAACCAAATAAAAAAGCAACAAACCTAGAAATATGCCCTTCTATTACTAAATCTCCAAGGTTCTAAACTTTAGTAAAATAATCCCAAAATATGAAGCATGAGCTCCTGCCAGGTGTTATCTCCTTGTTATTTTATTACAATTTTCTTTCAAAAGAAAACTTCAGGAGATGGTGAGCGGTGGGTGGAGAGCCAAAGACTACCAAACAAAAAAATATAAATATAGTTTTCAATTAAACAAACCCAGAAAAACACCACACAGTTAAGAAACTGACAGATGGAATTACTTCCAAAAACCTCTTACATCTATTCCACAAAGCACCGCACAGCTCTTGACGTCACGGCATGGATGCCACTGCTCCATCCTCTTTGCTTTCAATTGCGATTTAATCGCTCCAAAAAAAGAAAAAAAAAATGAAAATTTGAAAAGGGGTTTAGAACATAATATCCACCTATTTTTATATTACTGAAAAAAAAGGACCATGCTTCCCATTTCACCCCAAAAGGCAAAAAAGAAAAAAAAAAACCCTAACTTTTTAAAACAAAAAACCAACTAAAATCAAAACCAAGAAACAAACTTAACCATACCTCCTTGATTCCTTATGTTTTTAGCCAGAAATCTAGAAGACGAAGCAGGGCAAGAGTGGACGCCCGAGCCGGAGGAATTCCAAAAAAGGTGATAAAAAGAGAATCCGATGACAAGAACAGCAATGAAGAGGATTAAAAGGAATTTCCTTTTCTTCTTCGCTGGAGCAGGGGATGGAACCTCTTCCTTCCTATCCTCCCCCTCCCTCCTATCCTCCTCGTCCCTCCTATCATCCGCTTGCATTATTTCCTCCTCCACCTCAGACATTTTTTCCGCCTTTGTTCACAGAAAGAACAACGAGGAAGAAGAGATAAGCTGAACTTATTTTTGAGGCGGAACAGCAAGTTCTCTTAACTAACTACGAATACGAGAGAGAAAACAATAAGCCAAAAACTGTCCTTGCTTTAGGGTTAAAAATAGAAACTGTGCCAGTTATATACTCAGCTAGTAAAGAGTGTTCAAATTTTCCCAAAAAAAAAAAAAAAAAAAAGTTGATTTAAATACTTAGGAATATTTTGCTTCGATGTGTTTCATATACGAATTTGTATTGCTGTATTCCTCTCTTTCCTCACTTGTTCGCTTTGGTTAGTGACCCTACTGCTTTGGAAGCATTACAACTATAAAAATAATATATTTGAACTCAATTCATTAATATAATCTTCTGATAAAAATATTAATTTCAAAAAATAATAAAATAAAGAGTAATATATCTATATTTTTTAATGGTAACAACTAAAATTTGGAATGCATTTTTTATAATTTTTTTATTAAAATCTTATTTCAAGATCTATGATTACACTAATGAAAAATATTGTTAGCATAAGTCAAAGAATCTTCTCTTATGTATTCCGTTTACTGCTTGAGATTATAAATTATAGTCAATAATTACGTTATGTCACAACCCAACTCGATATGATCCACAGAAAGACATGTCATATTGTATTGAATTGGGATAGGTTGAGTCCAAGATCAAAGTTTTGGCAAACTTTTTAAATTTCGTTCATTTAAATTTGAAACAAACAACAGAGCTTCTAATTAACTTCGAGTAAGTAGAAAATAAACTCATCCAAAATTTCTTTTATTCATTATCAAAATATATATACATTATTTACAATACATGACTACAGACTAACATAAAATGATTAAGGGGTTTTTACATACCTAACACCCAAACCATCTCTATTTACTTATCTCACACCTAAACTTTAGTTTTTACTCTTTCACCATCGCAATGTTCTAGTCCTCATCAAATATAACACTCCGTCTACTTCCGTCAAAATCAAGTCGCGAAAATAGCCTTTTGTGCCCAGGAAACATCTCCGAGCAGCACTTTGGGGTTGCGTCTTCTCCAAATACAATCTCTATTTTGATAAACAAAGCAGCTCCCCTTTTCTCCTTCCCATCGGATCGAAGCCGGTGCAAACGTCTCGCCAGTTGGAGTTGCTCAATCGACCGTAGCAGAAAATAAGCAGGAAATAATAGAGGAAGACAAAGATCCATATACTGGAAACGAAATAGAAAGCTACAACCAAATTAAGAACACTAACAAGAACCAGATCATCAAGAACATCCCACGATTCAATCAAACATCTTATGCTTCCTTATTTCTTGAAGACATTCAGTACCAATACTACCAATAGCAGCAGCACACACAGCCTTCTCCCTCCCAACCTGCATCTCTAAGGCCTGCTCCATCCTCGATGTCATTGCCGATCTCATTTCCTCTTGTTTCGAACGCAGGAGATATGAAGAAGAACAATCTTGCAACAATGGTGGGGTTTCAAGTGAGGGACATGAGGTGGGTCAAAACTCTCTGGGTTTTCTAGTGAGGGGCATGAGGTGGAGCCCCAAGAATCTGCTGGGAGCAATAGCTTCGAAGGGAAACCGTGGTCATCCACGTGGGAGATGAATTCAATTGATTCAACAGGAGGAACGTCGATGACTGATAACATAAAAGACATGGATGATGAAGTTGGCCAACCAGAAAATCAGCAGCAGCAAAAGTCATGGCAAAGATCAGTAGCTCCTTCCAGCCGAAAGTCTCGCTGCACCGGAGAAATGTAGAAGAGTAAAAACAAACCTTCTCTCGCAATGAAGAAGAGACGGGTCAGGGTAACACGGTGTATTTGAGTGGTAGGTGTGTAAATAATATATTTTGGGTGTTAGGTAAGTAAATATAAGAGTTTGAAGTGTTATGTATGTAAAAAATCTCAATAATTAAATAACTAGTCATTATTGTATAAAAATGAGAAAAATATCTATAACAACTCAAATAAATCGAAACCTTTGACTACAACTACTCAATGTGCTTCCCCTTTCCCCAACCTAAAATAGAATGTAAAGTATGTGTGAGCCAACACAACTCAGCAAGTCACACCTACTAATCTATATTTCATTTACTAAGCTTTTAGGTGGGTTTAAAAATAGTTAATAATAATTTATTGTACTGAACAAAATAATACTTACACTTATATGAATTTTAAATTATAATGTTGGAAAAGTAAAAAAAAAAACAAGTATTTTGTATATCATAATAGAAAAATGATGGATTTTTAATTAGGCCCTTATACCTCTTACCCAAAGTAGACATTCAAATTCAAGCCTTTATGACTACAAATTCTCAGCACCTATCAGATATTAAAAATTCAAGCTCTTATGACTACTTGCTCTTTTAACACCTAAACTTCTTGCATAATAAATCTCCTTAGATAAGCATATATATCATTGCATTGCAGTAAAAAATATGTGAATAAGCCAATTTTAAAATTTCACAAGTATTTTATCGTAGGTAACAAATTAACTAATGAGTGGAATTCACAATTTTAAAAGATCATTAAACTACTAGAGAGTATTCATAACATTATTTTGAGGCTTTAATTATTCTATAATAATATTTCTTGGGATCATAATTATTTTTTAGTTAAATAAAATAACACTATTTTAAAACTACATGGAATAAGTTTCTCAAAAAATACATAAATGTTTAGAATGACTAACTTTATAACATAAAAAAATGTTACGTAGTGAAAATTTACAAACACAAAGTTGTCCTCACTTTTGCAATACAAAATTATAAATAAAATTGAAAAAATCTCAAATTTTCAATATTTTTTAAAACTGGGATAAATATAATTCAACCTACCTCGATCTAGATAATTTTTGAATTGGGCTGATAGTAAAAATCGAACCAGAGGTGCTAAAAACCTAACTTTCTCTCACTAAAATTCTTCCTCTTTTTCTCTCTTTGTTCTACTGAATAGGGGCTATAAAAGTTTATAATAAAATGCAATGAAATGTATATTGATATTTTTATAAAATTTGACCTTGCATCATAGTGGTTGACCCTATAGTGTCTGACGCTTCTATTAGAGAGCATAGTGATGTAGCACCCAACCCCAACATTTCAACATTGTAACGGTTCTTTAATTTGAAGAAAATTTGTTGGAGAGCTCAATGGCATAGCGCTGCCAACCCAACACAATAGCTCTCATAATGGAAGAATTCTAAATCTTATATTCATGCAAATAGACCCTAAGAACCCACTTCATAAGAGATTCAAATACTCTCATGCATATAAAGCATTCACAGAGATATACAAAAGACATGAATGAAGAAATTTTACTTCATAACCCTTACCATGTTGGTTAAGAAAAGGTACAAGTGTGCACGGATTTAATATGTGTTACTTGTTCATCCAAAAAATGATTTCTCACTTGAAGAATTATGTTAGTTTATGTGGAATTTGATTATGATGACCAATCATATTCCATAATTGGTATTAGAGCCGCATTTATCAGTTTGAGTGGGAGTAATTTCTAATGAATTAAGAAAGATACAAGATTGAGAAGTTCAATGGTTCAAACTTTGAATTTTATATGATGTGAATTGCAGAGTTGTTATTTCATAATAAGTTATGTTTATCATTGGAAAAAGTCACCATTAAAATTAAATTCTATGACTATGGGGGAGTGGGATATTCTTGATCAGACTGCACTTGGTCTAATAAGGCATTCACTTTTCTCATATATTGCTTTCAATATTATATTTAAGAAGGCTACAATCAATCTCATAGCCACACTGACTAAGATATATAAAAAGCCATCACTCTTAAGCATTCATAATCATATATTTTTGTGATAACATAAAATTAAATGCATATTTTTTTATGTACAAATAGCCAATATATTCTGACATTTGTATAAACGTAAATGAAAGGCACTATTCTCTATGTTAAGAATGTTAAAAACTATTATTTTCTTGCTTCTGCATTAGGTATTATTTGGGAGGTTGGTCTTAATTCCAATGAGCCTAGGGTTATTTATTAGATCAAGCCCCTTAATAATTACTATAAGTTGAATGTGGATGGTCCTATTAGTGGTTCCTCCTTAGGGTATGGTGGGGTTATAATAGATAGTAATGGTACTCTGAGTATGGCTTTTGTTGGTCCTGTTCATAAGGGTGACTTGAATTATGCTGTCATCTCAGCTATTCTTATGGCCTTCGGTTATGTATTTCTCTTGGCTTAACTAATGTTGGTATTGAAGTCAATACCAACTATAGTTTTCAATTTTTAAATTCTGTCATTTATACGGTGTGTACTCCTAAGCTGTTTTATCTTGTGAGGGATATTAAGAATCTTCTCATTTTTATGAACTATTCCTTTCATCATGTTTACAAGGAGGGGAATGCTTGTGCGTATTAGCTTGCCAAATCACGTTCATCGAAAGTCCATTTAGTAAAAGAAATTTCAGTTTTAACACCATTAATTTCACGAGAAGGTGGAGAATAACCTTCTTGAATAAGCATCCACATGCGATAATCAGTAGATAGTTTCTAATTTTTCTGGTACTAATCTTCCCTCTCATTTGAAAGGTCTGTTAAGATTAGATACTATTAATTTACCTTATGTTAATATTTAAGGTTTGCCTTTGGCTGGGGCACGTGGTTATGTTTTCCTAAGGTCAGGATGTTATTTTATCATTTTTTGGTTGGTTGATGTTAGTGTGGTTTTATGGGTTCTGGTATCTTCATACCTATTTGGATTGCTGATGTTTCTCTTGGTCTGGGTTGTTTTATCCCAGAATTTTTGGTTTCTGGAATTGTTGTGGCTATTAGGGGGCTTGTCTCCAGTGGTTTGTCTCTTCGTGCTATGGTGTCATTACAGGCCTGTTCCTAGGCAATGTGACTCTCTGGTTGATTTGTTTGGTTGCCTAGTTTTGGATATAATGGAGCAGTTGTTCTCGGTCTAGGTTGTTTTTTCCCAGAAGGTTTAGTTTTTTGGAGCTATTTGGTTTTTATTTGTGGTGGAATTTTGGGGGCTTTAGCTGGTTATTTTCCCTATTTGGTCACTTGGTGTTGTAATGTTGTTCCAAACCTATTCCTTCACACTAGAACTATTTCACTCTA